TTGTCCTGGCAGCTGCTCTCCTCGAAAAGGTGTGAGCCACCAGGAGGGGAGGGTCCCGGAGCAGCTGGTGCTGCCTTGCTCCTGTCTTCTTTTTTTCTGCCTTCTACCTTTCGTGACTCTTCCTCCAAAATGGCTCTCTGATTCATAAATGTTGATTTCTCTGTCTCTCCATTTGTCCATTCATACTGTGTGCTAGGGACATGGCTGTGAACAAAACAGTCGACTGCATGGCCTTTACACTCAGTCATCTTAGCTGGGCATTTAAATTTTCTGAGTTCCCTTGTCAGGTTCTGATGTCCTTAGATATCCTGCTTTCCAGGAACAATTCCATAGATTTCTGGCTCAGGTTCCATCCTCTGGTTAATGAACTTGGAGAGAATGCTGGGCTTCGGCCTGGTAGTGTTCCTCCTCCCTTACCCAACAGTGTTTTCTGAGTCCCTGTCCTGCCCTGGTCACTGTGACAGGCACGGGGGGGAGGGTGATAAAATGATTAAGACACAGCCCCTTCCTCATTTGAGAAGCCCGGTAGCCAGAGCAAAGGCAGGTGGGGAAAACTGTAACTGCAGCCTGAACAAAGAGCTGGGGGGCCTGAAGGAGGGAGGATCAGGCCTTTCCACAGAGAAAGAGGTTCCCCAGCCACCCCTGGTGGATTGTCCTGAGGAAGATATCCCTCCATCTAACTGTGATCCCTCCCACTGCAGCCAAACCGTGTTTGTTTTCCTTACTGGGCTCAGAAACTGAACAAGTAAAACTACTGTTAGTTCTTTTCTACCCCAGCCCTTTCACCATCATTGTTACTGTCCTTCCTGAATCCCGGCCAAGTTTAATTTCCTCACCATCCCCTGCCGAGTGAATCTGCATGCAGACATCTCTGGATGTGGGCCCCCTGCTAGGGACCTCTGCAGCCTTGTCTCTTGGCACTCTAGGTAAATTGTTTGCTGAGCAAGTACAGTATTTTATATTGCTGAAGAAGATCTCAATTTTGGAGTTGAAACATTAGGGTGAAGTTAGTCTCCCTTCTTCTACCATGGTAGCCCATCTGACACATGCCTTAGGATAGCAAGTGCCAGTTTGTGGCTAGTGTAAATTTTGGGTGAGGCTGCCTTGTTTGAAGTTTACAGGGACAGGATACTTCACCACCTGCACACATTGTCAAATACAGAAATAATCAGCACAGGTTGGAAAGGGGATCTGTGTTGGCCCATCAGTTCTGATTGTGTGTGGGTGAGTGAGAGACCAAAGACTGAGCTCTGTCACTGCAAGCCTGAGAAACTCAGCAAGAGGCAGAGAGAGCTTGGCATTTACTCTGAAGCCCACATTTTCCCAGCTGTCAGTCAGCAGAGATGTTGCGTGTTGATTTCACGTATTCACTTCTCCTTCCCCCCTCTGGGAATTCTGTACTTGCTTTCCTTTTTTTTTTTGTTATTAAAAAACAAAAAAGTAAAGAAAAGGCAGCTCTGCCTCGTTCACATGCTCAGAGATCCTCAAGGGCAGGCTGTACCTTTCAGCTCCTCTGAGCATGGCAAGTGGTTGAAGATCAGGACGGGGCAGGAGAGATGGTGTCTCAACTCACCTTTTCTCTCTGGTGGCTCCTTCTGTACCCAAGAGCTAAGAAACTGAGATAAACCACAGCACTGGTTTTCTTGCCTTTCCGCCACCCTGCTGCCAGGCCCACCTTCCTAGGGCACCAGTTTTGTCATGTGCCTCTATTGCTTGGGAAGCTGCCATGTGAAGACCAGACTTTCATGTGTCATGTAAGGCCTGGCATAGTTCCCTTTGACTCCCAGGCACATTTTCCTGCTTCAGTCAGGCGTGTGTTCTCACTGCCCCCGAGTGCACCATACCCATTCCTTCCTTGTTAATGCTTCTCCTTGCACCCCATCCACACCCACTCCAGAGAGCCCTTCTGCAAGGTGAGGATGAAGGGACAGTTCTTTGCTTGTTCTATTATGGTACATGAGGGTAAAGGCCGGTCTCTTTAGCTAGCTCATAAGCTCCCTGAGGTCCACGGCCATGTCCTGAGCATCTTTGTATCTTCCAGGGTCCTTGCTCCGTGTCCTGCCCGTGATGAACAGTCTACTATGAATGCATAGCTTGTTCATTGGGGGCTAAACCTGCCTCTCCCAGCTCTGTCTAAGCTGTCTCGTTTCACGGACTAGCTTCCTGGCTTGAGACTACATTTTCCCTGCACTCTCTTCCTTCTTCCAGCCTCCTGTAAGATAACTCAGGTCCATCCCCTTGGGGCTCAACTTGGCTGATCATTAGTCCAGCCGCACTGCCCCAACCATACCTCTCCACTTTGCCTCTTATTCAGGGTCCTTTTATCTAATGACCTCTCATCAGGACACATGCTGTCAGGTTCCCTGTGTGCTTTTAGATACTGTCTCATAGACTGGAAGATGCCCAAGAGAGTAGAGAACATGGACCTCGAAATCACAGTTTCCTTATCTGTAAAATGGGCTGATGACCATAGCTATTTCATAGGGTTGTGATGAGTTACTGCATTTGAAACCTGGTACCTGGGGTATCATGAGGACCTACCATATAATAAACCCGAGTTGCTCTTATTATTCTGATAATGACTAAACTGGGTACACTGATGGGATCCCACTGAAACTTTGTTAATGGACCGAAGAGTGGGACTTCAGTGTGCTTTGGACACATGTGACTTGGAGGGAGTAGAACTGTTACATTGGCAGCCTCCTCTTCTCTTTTACCTGCCTGTCGTCCTTCACTCTGCTTCCCCCTCACCCTGACCCCAGGTCCTCAGTTGCTGAGGAAATAGTTACTGGCACAAATCCATTTATAATCAGAAATGAAGGAGGAATGACAATGGGAGGCTATTCTCACTGAACAAGGTTTGAGTTGGGGAGAAAAGAGAGATTTGAAAAAAAAAAAAGAGGCAGAGGGGGCGAACCTAGGAGGGTTCTTGCTGAAACCAAGTCCCCATGTGAGACTAGCAATAATAGCTCCTTATATTTGTTCAGTGCTTACAGTCCTGGGGCTGCGCCCACATGTGCCAGCTCACTTCATGCTGGGGACATCTCTGGGGTTAAGATCTATTAATCCTCATTTTAAAGAGAAGGAAATGGGAGCTCAGAAAGGCAAACTGCTTTGCCCTTGATCACCCAGACTGAGCTAAGAGTGAAGAACAGGTCTCTGGACTCCGAGTCCCACTGGTAAACGATCTCGCCTGCATCAAAGAAGTAATGCTGTAAGAATGAAGCGGCAGCCATGAGTCCTCGGGGGCCCACTGGTTGGTGGTCTAGGCTGAAGAGAACCAAAGGTGTTAGTCATTCCAGTCAAGTGGCCTTGGGCTCCAAGAGGAGCCCAGCCAGCCATCTGTCCTGCATCTGTCGACCCACAGGTCAAGTGCCCAACCAGGAGACAGCAAGGTGCCCCGGCTGTGACATACACGAGGTTTCCTTACTGGGTTGCTGTCTGAGTGGGGATGGGGCTCAGAATAGCAGCGCCACTGCAGGGCTGTGGAAGGAACCTAAGGGTTTGCACCCCTAGGAGGTGGGCCTGCGTGGGAGCCAGTGAGCGTGCAGGCTGGAAGGTGCAGGGCCACTGCAGCAGGCCTGCGATGAGGGTTTCAAGTCCCTCTGGTCAGAGTAAGTGTTCCCTTCTTTCAGCCACAGCCCGTGGTGGCAGTAGTTCTGTTCTGGCGTGGCCTTGATGATGAATGTTCTCCTGTCTTTCTGACTAGATTGTGTGTCTCTGAAGGGCAGGGAGCAGCACATCGTACATCAGTTTCCTCAAGGGCCTGGCCCTGTGCTCAGCACATTGAAGCGGGTGCAGAATAAGTGTTTGATGGGATCTGGGGAGACCATCTCACATTCACGCCATACGGAGGGCATGAATTTTCTATCCAGCCATCCTGGTGTGGTCCCCATCCCCCCAGACCCTAAGCCCAGTGTTAGGTGCTGGGGATACTGAGCCTCCAACGATTTAGCCCTGCCCTCGGGTGCTCTCAGCACACTCTTGCTGATGACAGAAGAAAGGTGGGTTTCTCACTCCTTCTCCCTAAGTTTTCTAGTCTTCTTTGTTTGCCAACTGTGTAGCCCAGGTCTACACAAGCCCAGGAGACACTGCCCTAGACGCGGTGTTTTACGGTAGGATGTAGGCTCTTCCTGCATGTTCCCAAGCCCCTAGCAAGAGCCTTCTTCTGGCTGTTTCCCTGACCAGCTCCTTACATGCTCTCCTCACGGTAGAGGGTTCAGCCGGCGTCCAAGAGCATTCCTACATCATGCTTGTTATAAGCAGGACCCCACCTCGGCCACCTACTCTCCTCCGCCCGGCGCGGGGCGGGGGAGGGGGACTCGCGCAGCTGCAGGGGCCTCGCGGAGCCGCGTGTGTGCGCACGCGTGCGCGCTCGCAGCTCGCAGAGGGGACCGGGAGGGCGGCGCGCGCACCACGGAGGCCTCTAGCGTCTTTCCCACACTACACTCCGCTCCTGCGGTCCTTTCTCCCTGTGTGTCGTAGCCGGACCCACGTGTGCAAAAGCGTCGTGCGTGTGTGTGTGTGTGTGTGTGTGTGTGTGTGTGTCCGTCCCTCCGTCCGGGATACCGTGTGCCCCAGATCGGACAGGCCTGAGTGCAAAGGGGGCGGCGGCCAGGGCGATAGTCGCCGCGCTGCGTTACCCCTCCAGTCCTCCCTAGCCCTTTCCTTCAGTTTCCTTGGGTCGTTCGTACCTCGAATCATTCCCCTCCTCTGCCGCCCCCTTTTCTGCAGTAGAGGAGACCAGCGACTAACAAGAAGGTTCTGGTTCACCCTCGGCTCTAGAGCCCTTGACATTTAGCGAGGGTTCGCAGCGCACGGTTGTAGGCACACAGCAGAACGCTAATCCTATTAAAGACATAGTGTCATTGGGGAGGGGGAGGCTGCCCCACCCCCCTGGCCCCTGGCAGATCTCGCGCTCATTGGTTGAATGCAAAGCAGGGGGCGGGCTTGAGGGACTGGCGAGGGGGCTCGGAGCGATTTCTGAGTCCGGAGTCGGGGCTGGGATTTCTCTGGGAAAGCCCAGCGGTGGTAGCTGCGGCGGATCTCCCAGCACTGTCCGCGGCGCGCCCGCCCAGCCCTGGGCTGGCGAGCAGCTCCGCGAAGTCGCGGAGCGAAGAAGGCGGAGCGCCCGCAAAGTGGTCTGGGCTCAGCGCCGGGGCTGGACTGGGCGCGGTGTGTGCCCTGGGAGCCTGGATCCCGGAGCCCTTGTGCCTCTCGTGGAGCGGCCGGTGCACCTGGAGGCGAGCTGACGCTGGGAAAGGAGAAGTCAAATTGCAGCCTTCCCAAAGACGCTAAGTTACGCAGGCCAGCCAGTTCCCGGAGAGCATTCGCGAGAGAGCAGAAAGCCGAGCCGCAGAGCCCTCCCGGGCCAGCCGGCCGGGGGCAGAGCACCAGCCCCTGTGCACGGGGTCCCTGTCCGAAGTGCGCCCCAGTACAGAGGCGGGGCGTGCAGGGCTCCATCGGGCCGCCAGCAGCCCGCGCCCGACTTGGGCGCCCCCTCCGTCCCATTCTGGGAGCGATGCCCCCCGCCCCTTGTGTCCCCCGGGAACGCCTCGAGCATGGAGAAGTCGAGTAGTGAGGATTCTTCGATCCACCGGAGTCCATCTTTGGACAGCAAGGACTCGGACTTTGCCAAACCGTCTACCTCGGGCCGCCCGTTCGGCCGCGGATTCACAGCCGGCGCCTTCTACGGCACCGCGGGCTCCCGGGGCCAGAGCCGCGCTGAGGCTGGCGTTAAGACCGACAAATACAATGCCCCTAAAGGCAGCAAGTACGTGGTGTTTTACCTGGACCTGTCCTTTGTTTTCCTCCTAGAATTTAAAAAGTGCAACATGGCCAGGGGCTGCCTCTGCTGCTTGAAGTACATGATGTTCCTCTTCAATTTGATATTCTGGGTAAGTCCTTGCGCTTATCCCTCCCTTTGGGTCCTCGCCGCTTCTGTACCCTCTTTCCTCTTCGGTAATGCATTGCTCTGCTTCTGCACAATGGTAAGTGGGCTTTTTTTTTTTTTAAAGATCATTTTTTGCCCTTCTTCCATGTACTTATTTTTCCTTTCCTCTACTCAATGGCTGAATGGAGGCTCCAACTTGCCTGTCTTCCAGGGGAGACTTACTCTACTCCTAGGAGGCTTGCAAAGTTTGCTGCTACCTCCTTCCCTGATAAGAAACCCATTCTGGAAGGGTCCCTAACTGGAGAAGCTGCAGAAGTAGGTGTGGGGTCAGAATCTTTAACAGCTGTGACCCTGCATTGAAGACAGGCACAAGTGTGGGTGATCTTCTGAGTTTTTTTCTCGTATTTCTTTAAATACACAAGAATACCATCTGCAGCACTTTATGGACATGACATGGGGGAGTGGTAGAGGTCACAACCACTCCTGCCAGTGAACCCCAGGGAGAGGAGGAATAGCCCCTGTCCCAAGTTGAGGGACTCACTTGCTGGCCTGCAGCTATGCCCTGGAGTTAGGGCTCATGTGGGAGAGGAGAGTGTGGGAGGGATGCTGCCATCGGGCGGCAGGCAGCTGCTTTTGAGGGATTGCAGTGGACTGGGCAGGGGCAGCGGCTGGCCACGTGCTCCTGCCATGCATTGCCCGGCCTCCCAGATTTGAGAACCCCAGAAACTGAAAGGGACAAAGTGGGGACTCTCAGGAGTGCCCTATCCTGGGTGACAGATTTTTTTTTTTTTTTTTTTTTTTTTTTTTTAGAGAAGGCGTCAGTGGGTTAGGAAGCTTGGAACTGTTCTCTGACTTCTGTGATTCTGGAGGCCGTGTGGACACGGCTTGCATGCTTGTGCAGAAGAAATACTAGTTAAGCAAATTTGAAAACTTCTTAACTTTATATCAAATTGTTCCTTCATCCCAACTGCTGCCTCCGCCTTTCTTCACCAGAGCCCAGACGCAGTCAGCACAGATGTTTGGCTCTGCGCCAGGGCCTGTCCTCCTGCCGGCTGGAGGCTGTCAGCTGCCTGTGGTCCAGGAGGAGCACTGGGGGCAGGAGAAAGTCATTCATAGTGAAGTTGGGTAGACACCGTTGTGTTTTGGTGTTCAGCACTTGTGGGAAGTGACTGGCTTTAACTGAAAAACTTTTTGAGTGTGTTTGGGAGAAGGGTGACTTTTCCCACGGAGAGGAAAATTCATTTGTTGGGTGGGAAGAAGTCTGGGTTCTAGTCTTGGCTCTGTGTTAGCTTGTTTTGTGACCTTGGCTAAATTTTGTTAGTCCTTAAGGACTGGGTATCCTTTCCAGCCCAATGTGAGGCTGTACCCTTCTTCCTTGCCTCATGCACAGGCTGCTGCTTCTCTTTAGAGGAGCCTGGTTTGAAATTGAATTGGATATTCCCAGATGTCTCCATTGGTCTGGAGCCCTCTGGCCATTGTGTTACCTGTCCTGTGGCGAGGGTTTTGTGGAAACTGGGGCAGAACCACTGGAATGTGGAGAATGATTTTGTGGTCACCTTTGGGCAAGTGCTCCTTGTCCTCTGACTCACTTGCCAGGATAAGTGTCAGCCAAGTACTGGTGTGTATTTCTCCGGTGCCTTTGGATTGCATGAACATTGCCCTTTCGTTATGCACAGCATCCCTCTCTATTCTTGTTCAAAGTCAGCGTGCCTTTCCGTCTTGCCCCACTGTGCATATCTTAATACTTAGTAGAAAGACCCTCCTGGGGATGCTCATTCAGAGCCTTGGCCAGTACCTCCCTGCTCCTCCCCGCCCCCACCCTGCCACCTGCTGGTCTGAGTGGGTATAACTGCTGCGGTTTCTTTATTCTCCAGAATGGTGTCAAGTTGGTTTAGGGACCTCCTCAGGTGGTACAGCACAATGGTCTGTGCCCCGCACTTAGTAGGCGTTCGATATATATTTATTGGATGGAGGGCCAGAACAGTAAATCCACATGTTAACTGTGTTACAGGGATTCCCAAGTCTCATTTGGTAGTGACGTGTCCGTGATGAAGGCTCTCCTAGCACCTTATCCGTGGGGTGACAAGAGGCTCTTTCATCATCCCTGAAAAGCTTGGCAGAGGTTAATGAGCTGGTCGATGGAATGGCCTTCCTTTATGGTCTATTGTGGGAGGACTTGCTGTTCCTTTCTAATTAGAAGGTACCACCACTACTCCCTTACCAAGCAAAGAGTGACTCCTAATCTGGCTTTTCTGATTACTTAGTATTTTTAGAATTCCCATGGCATGCTATGAGCTGGAAAAGATTGAGTCTCAGAGACCCAGGTCTTTGATGCTAGTAGTATATGAGATGATGAAATAAGACATAGACCTTAGGAAAGACAGGGCATTTAACAAAAAAGAAATGGATGCCTATGTGTGTAAGAGTGTTTATTGGGTTCTAGAGGAGTAGGTGTAGCAGGGTGTTAGGCAGGACTGGGGATCAGTGGGTCACTAAGCTCCACTTGAACGATGACTTCCTGTGGCCAGGAAAGTGGGCCTGATATGGGAGAAGAAGTGGAGGAAAGAGCCAAATGAGAAGAGAAACTGCATGGGCCAGAGGCAGGTGGGGCAGGACCCCTGGATACCTCGCCCTTTCTAGTGCGCACAGGGGAGGAAAGGGCGGGGTGAGGAGGTATGCAGGGCTTGTGAGAACTGACTTCTCCAGGACCCAGAGCAATGGTCAGGAATTATGTAGCCATCACTTTTTCCTAGTCTTATGGCTCAGATCCCAAAAGGAGGCCTTTCTGAGGCATTAGAGTTGAACCTGAGGCCTGCTGTCAATAGATATCTTCCTAAGGTCCCAGAGCCTACCTGGCAGTTCTCCAGACTGACTGCTGCCACCATACCCCTTGCCTCCTCAGAGCCAGCTGGGTGGGTCCCCAGTGCAGCTGTCTTACACTGCAGCCCCTCACAGGTGTGCCAGTCCCTGGTTCCTTGCCACTGGGTGGAGCTTCTAGGGTGTTGGCATTGGTGAGGGCCTGGGTGACATCACCGGCACCGGGTGGGAGGCAGAGCTACACTGCCAGCATTCCTCTTCCTTACCAAGGAGGGGGCAGGTGCCTCACGGGCTGCTGGGTGCCTCTCTGCTTCAGGGTAGGGGTGAGGGTCCAGCTTGCTCCTGGCACCGCCGACTTCAACCAGATGGTGCTAGCCATGTTGGCACCCAGGGCAGCATTTCTGAGGGCCTGGTATAGATCACGGGAGTTTGGAGGGACAGTCAGGAGTCATGTCTGACTGAGTAGCACCTCCTCTTCCCCTGACCACCTCACTCTGATCCTCATGGCCAAGAGAATGCCGGCTTCTTAGTGGAAAGGAAATAGGAGGCCTCATTGGGCAGAAGTTTCCCCATCCTGAAGGGCCTGTCCACCAGCGATCAAACCCACGCCACGTTATTTCCCCCAGCAGTGGGAACCACTCGGGAATTTCCCTCAGCTCATCTCTGAGTCCTCCCAGGGCCATCTGGTGGAATCTCCCAGGTAGAGATTGAGAGGATCTGAGCCCCAGCAGGAGGGCAGAGGGGCTCAGAGCTTTCCAATCTGAGAAGGGGAGGTAGAGTGTAGCATGGGCTCTGAGCGCTGGGGGCCTATATCCCCTTCTCAGGACAGTTAATCTGATCCCAGCTCAGCTTCTCCCAGCCCAAGTCAAGTTCCTGTCTGATCTGGAGGGGTGGGGATGGGGCTGAGTTGCTGGCATAATTGCCACTGCAGATAATGGTCACTTTTCATGCTTGCCAGCACAGCTGTCCCATCGTTTTAAGCCATGGCTGGCAGAGGACTGACATTCTGGCCCCAAAGGAAAGTCTATTCCTTGTGGAGTTCTCCCTCAATAAAGGCCAGTTAGCGAAGGAGGCAGTGTTCAGTGCGTCTGCTAGAGCAGAGGAAATGTTGGCACAGGGATGCCACGGGGGCCCTGATTAACCTCCCAAAAGTGGGGTCAGGCCTCTGTGGCTCGGCCCCTCTCAGACTATTTCACTTGCCCTCTGGTGGCAGGCAGCTTGGTTAAGGCTGTCCAGCCATATCTGAGACACATGCTTTGTACTGACTAGGCTGCGTTGTAAGTGTCTCTGTGGGCTCCGTGGCTCCCTGTCAGTCTTGGTGCATAGGACAGCAGTCTGTGCACAGTCACTGCTGGATGGCTTGGGGTGTCATAAGGAAGCTGTGGGGGGTGCCTTCTGCCTGGGAATGGAAGTGGTGAATGGATTGAGGGGTCTGAGCAGGACAGGTTCAGACATGGCCTCTCCAAATAGGAGGTCCAGGCCACACTGGGCAGCGAGAGGTATTCAGAGGCTCCACAAAGTGCTCAGGGGTGAGTCTTCGAGCTGTCCCCCACATGGCTGCCACAGGTGGATGTTGTGGGTGCGTCAGGCATGGCTCTGCCTGAAAGGGCGCAGATGAAGGGCCTGGCTGCCTCTCTAAGATTACCCTGGAATATGGCTATGAAGGAATGCTGGCTCTGTGCTCACTTCCTTTCCAAAGCATTAAAAATTAAACTTCTTTGTCTTAATATCTATTTTTAAATCATGTCAGAGCCAGCATTGGTGTCAATCAAGAGTGGGTGGGGAGGAAGAGGGTAGAGAAGAGAAAGTCCCAGCTGAAACAGGGTGAGCACCGTCATTGCCTTGAGGAATGCACCACAGGTCTGCCCTCCATCCCACGGGGCGGTGAAGAGCGCAGAAAACACCACTGACCTCCTGTGAGGATGGTGGGCTTGGGAGAGGGGATGGAAGGAGGGAGGGCTCACCCTGCCCCCCGCCATGCCATACCTCCCTGTGCCTGGCTACCCTTGGCTGAATTTGGAGGCCAGCTCCGGGACTTACTGGGCTGTTGGGGTCCCAGTTGAGTCCGTTCACTCATGCCACAACTATTTACTGAATGCCTGCTGCATGCACATGAGGCTCCAGTTGGTGAGGACGGACTGACTGGGCTCGCACGCAGGAGATCAGCTTTCTCAGGCCAGGAAGTCG